TTTCGGCGAACAACCCTAGTGTAAAGCATTCTTTTGTTTGAACTTGACGCGAGAGTTGACTTAACAAATGTAAATAAAAACGTTTGAAATAATATAGTTATTGTTATGTTTTGCTAAATTAATTAATAATATTTGTTTGGTTGTTGACGTTTTTTGTAGTTGAAGAATTTTTTTTTTTTTAATTTTATTTTAAGGATCTACGACCTCTTAATAGATAAAAATTCAATTTGGAATAACTATCACCGTTCAGACACGAGAGTTATTGTCGTATGTAAACAATTCGTTAAAAGAATTAAAACAGCAAGTGGAAGTACTAATGTTTTGGCTACATGGCCACATATTTTAAACACATTTTTTTGTACTACATTGCCATCAAAAAAAAAAAAAGTAAAATGAACGTGTTAAAAAGAAATACAGAACAACGTTGCAACGCTCAAAATAAACGACAGTTGTAGCATTAAAAATTACTTCTTTTTTTGAATAAAACGAAGAACCTCTTAAAGCTGTACTTTTAAAAATCATTTTAAAATTTGGCATTCCTATTAATAAAATTTGTACATCTGAAGATTTACAAACGCTATTGAAAGCAAGAGACCACATAGAGATACCAAAATCCCCAAAAACCATTAAAAAAAAAGTAATGATTTGCCTGTAACATAAGGAAACTAGTTTTAAATGAAATTTTACAAAATGGACTAAATAAAAAACTGTTTAGCCTTACCAAAGATGAATGGGACATCCAGTAAGAACCGACGGTATAAAAGTATTATTTTCATGGAAATGGCGGTAAGTTTTGAAATCTTGGATTGAGTTTGATTCATAGATCTGCACCTACTAAGGTATGCGCAGATCTAATTGAAAAGAAGCTAAAAGAGTTTAATAAATGAGCTTTGTTAAATATTGTCTCTATAACATCAGACGGAGCTGTCGTTAATGAGAGAACCGTAAAGTTACTTAATAAAAACCATCAGTTATGTTTTTTACATGGTATATAATTGACAATAATAAAAATACTTTATAGTATTAGTACAAAAGATGTACAAGATGTTAATGAATGTGATGCTAATGTAATACTTAATGTTGATTCTTGTTCTGGTTATTCGGAAAATGAACTTGAAGTAGACCATGAAGCGACCGAGACTACCTATCTTGATCAACAAAACGCAGAAGTAATTTTATTATTTACAAAAATTTGGAAAGTTGTAAAATTTTCAAAAAATCACCAATAAAGAATGATAAACTACTGCAAAAATACAATTAAGAAACTGTCTGAAAAGAATTTTCTCTAATTTTAGGTTTTAAAATAAGAGGGAAAACTTTATTAGGCATGCTAGAAAATTTTTTAATACTCGAAGATGCTGTTCTAATAAGTCTGATTTAAAAATAGACATGAATTTTAATGAAAGTAAAGTAAAGTTGCTTTCAAATTCAATTAAATTGGCTGTTGAAACACACTGCTTCTCATAGGTTACTTTATATTCAACATTAAAATTTGCTAGATCAATTAAGTAATAAAAATATCTTTTCAGTATTGAATTAAAAAAAGAATTGATATCTTTTATAAAAGAAAGAAGAACAATGGTTCCAGACGTTTTACACTGTATAACAGACCCTAATGTGGTTCTTTCTGTCAAAGGCAATTACGGTATTTTTAATATCACCGGTAAAACAGCAGTTGTACAAAGTATTGTTGACAAAGTAAAAAACATCTAGTACACTATAAATTGGATTTAGATTTGAATAACTTCCTCATAACGTTAAACCATACTGGTATTTCTTTGAAGGAAAAATTTCATCTACTTATTAAAAAACAAGCAAACAAGAAACAAGGAACAACTGACTTGGAAGAAAAAAACAATAAAGATCTGAAAGAAGTTATAAAGAATGAGTTAGAGTACTTTCGGCAATAAAGTATACGTGGGAAATATATTCAAATAGTTTTTGATTATATATTGACTATTTGTCCAACAAGTGGTAAATCTGAGTAAAGCATTTTCGGGAGCTAGACTAATTTGAACTAAAATTAGATCTCTGTTAGAAGACAAGACTTTGGATAATTTAAGCTTTTTTCAAAATTACTTTTTGAAAAATACTATTTAATAAAAATGGTATTACATCATTATGTTTCTATTAATCTATAGATATTAATATATTTACCGGTATTTTACCGGTATACCGGTATTTTAATTTTCATTTACCGAATTACTGGTATATATGAATGTCGGTAAATTTACAAACCCTTATTGGGATCATCTGAAAAGTAGACTCAGAACAAAACTTTATTGTCAAAATGGGGTCAGTTTTGTTAACATAATCAGAGTCACTGACTCTTTTAGAAAATAATACACTTCATTTGATTTCATCAACATTGTTATTATCAGTAGGTAATCTAAAAAATAATTATCATTATCTCAAATTATGTGAGTAATTATCATGACGAATATTATTCATATATGTGATTATATAAATAATATTCGTCGTGATGATTACTCACATAAATTATGAAAATAAACTGAGATTGGGAATGAAAACCACCACTAATAAGCCCTTCCAATTCTTTTTCTTTTACACTACTCATTCCATCATCAGAAGCGACCAAACAAATTTATTGCTATCTAACACTTAATCTAAAATTTTATCTAGAGGAATTAGTAATTATCTAAATGAAAACTAGTTTTTTTTGCATTGATACCTTTTGACCAGTAAAAAACAACTACTGTCCAGTACTACTATAGTTATACATAGTATGTCCAGTACTAAATAATATATTTACTCATAATAAGTTATACATCATATGTCTAGTACTAATAAAGTTATACATAACATTAAATAACACTAAAAGTACTACGTTTAATACTTTTTCAATAGTCACTTTATCTTTTTACTATGTATATTTATAATACCTATAGCACAAATCACTTACAAACTAATAACCAAACAAATCATTCTACTCTGAATATTATCACTTCTATTCATCAGACAGACCAAACCCTAAGAGCTTAAATAGCTATTACCATAGCAACTACTGACTTCCACTGTCACCATGAATATTTTATAACTTTTATTATTCTATACAAATAACTCTAACCTCCTTTTTTATACTTACTGTCTGAAAATTAACTAAAAAACAAATAATTTTACTCCAACTCTGTTACATACACCCATACACGTCTCTTTATAAAAGATAAGTAATAACACTTAATTAATAAATATAAATACATTTTACTATTAATGTATTGTTTTCACAATAATAAAACATAAGGATGTTGCTAATAAAGATTTTTGTAAAACACAAATTTCACATTATTACTAGATATTGCATTACTTAATTTTAATAACCAGCCTCTATTGACTAATAATATTTTGATACTTAAAACTCATACTAAACACACAAGTTTCTATGAATATAACTAAACTCAAAACAAGTACTTTGTCTAAAAACTGATACTAAAGATACAAGTCACTGTGAATATAATTAAACACTAAAATGGTACTTTGTCTAAAAACTTATACTAAAGAAACAAGTTACTATGAATATATTTAAACACAAAACACTACATACACTCTTTTTTTAAATAATTAGAGGCTGCCTGGACTCTGTTTTATGAAAAGAGTATTTCTATTCCACTTCAGATACTACTCGTAAAATTACAGTCACGTTACATATGCAGAGATAATCTTGTCATAAATACAAAATACAAAACACACTTTTGTACCACATACATTTACCAAATACTACGTTACAAATAATAGGTTACAAAACTCCATATGACTTTAGATTATTAGTTGTAAAATATGTATACAGATTATTAGTTGTAAAATATAGTTACAAGTTATTGTTGCTATATTTGTGTAATTCTATTTAAATATTCTAAGTTACCTATTTGTAATAGTCTGTTTTTTTAAGATGCAATTTATATGATTACTATTGTGCACTTCTAGCTTACGTATACAAGTTTCAAAAATTTTCAACCAATTTCGTACTAATAACATTTACCAATAAAATATGCTACTACAGTATGCACACTCATGTACACTACATTGACTATTTATTTAAAATAGTTCACAAGACTGACCTTGGTTATATTGCGACAAACCACTGTAGTTACTGACACTCATGTCAAAAAATTACTTTTAATTGTAATAAATTTCCTCTTATCTCAGTGTCATTGCAGAAGTCTGTGTGAATCATCCTGATGGGATACTCTAAGAATAGTTCTTTTGGGATAACACATGGGAACACTTTAACAATAAGATACCCTGGTATACACCCAGAATGGAACTTCAAATGGCATACTTGACTCAAATGAAAGCTAGAGGTCTTTCTTGTGTTCATACTGTACCATAAGGCGCGAATCCATACCGCAATCGAGATGCCCATGAAACATGAAAGTCGATAATGTATGTTTATCACGCCAATAATAAAGACCACATTGTAACAGACCACATTATATATATATATATATATATATATATATATATATATATATATATATTATATATATATATATATATATATATATATATATATATATATATATATATATATATATATATATATATATATATATATATATATATATATATGTATATATACATATATATATATATATATATATATATATATATATATATATATATATATATATATATATACATATATATATATATATATATATATATATATATATATATATATATATATATATATATATATATATATATATATATAAATATATATATAAACATGAATAAAATATATATATATATATACATAAATAAAAAATATATATATATATTTTGTTATATATATAAATATATATATATATATATAAATGTATATATATATATATATATATATATATATATATATATATATATATATATATATATATACATATATATATATATATATATATATATATATATATATATATATATATATATATATATATATATATATATATATTTAATATTTAATCCATAAATAAAATACTAACCTCCACAAAAATTATTATTAAAACACGGTGTTGCATTAATATTATTGTCATATTCTTTGCAGGCTGGAAAGTTACAATACTCTCTTGTTTTATTTGTAACCTTATAACTACATAAAGAACTGCAATTTGTCCAACCACTTGAATAAGTTAAAATTTCTAAAAAATGCTTGTTTTAATCAATATGTGTTTACATACATATATAAATATATATAATACATAATTAACATATATATATACGTGAAAATCAGTGCTCATTAACAGTATTTTTTAAATTGATTAGTTCTTATTTAGAAATTTTAAACAGAAATGGGAGGAAGCTTTTTAATAATTTATAAAAGTAGTGAAGTTGCAAAAAAAAAAAAAAATAGAAGAGAACATAAAGTAACATCAAAACCTCAACAGTTTTCTGTTTAAACAGAGTCTCATGCTAGTTTCAACCTCAGCTAATCTAACATTCTCAGGCATGAGTGAAAAAGCTAAGTTATTGGTTGTATATGAAAATTTAATCAACATGACTTTAACTTTTAATGAACAATCAGAACCTGATAAAAAGAGGGTGCGTTTCCTTATTGATTTGTCATTGAATAGAAAAAGGGATCCAGGACTTTGGGATTATCTTTTATCTGTTAAAATTATCATTGAAATTCTTCATTGAAAATGGCTTATATATACTCCAGAACTGAGTTTTATTTTCTGTTTCGACCACAAGCTTTTTGAACACCAAAAAAAATTTTTAGATTTAACTAAATTTGAAGATTTGAAATTTAAGTGGTATTAAATGAAGGCCATGAGAACTCATTAGACCACTGATAAGCCTCTTCAACAGCTTTTCACAGATAATAAAAAAAAAGTTTTCAGAAGAGTAACCTTTAGCCTAAATTCAAAAACTTTTAAAGAGAGGTTCTCAGAAGAATAATGTTGTAATTCGCACATTGACTAATAGAAATTTAACAACTTAGCAAGCCTTAAACAGAAATTTGAAGCAACAAAAGTTTTATTAGTCTGCTTGAGCGGTCGCAAGTTGAATGCGCAGTTTGATCGTTTTAAACCAAGCTCATAAAAAATAAGATGAAAATACTCTCTCATATGATGAATAGATTATAATGGTGACAGAAATATTTTTGTAATTAATCAGCCACAAGTTTTATAAAATTAAGTATTAGGCATCCATGCGGGAGGGAACGTGTATTTAGATTTTCCTACCCTATGCTTTTTAACCCTCTCCCCCCATGATTGTTTTTTTGTTTTTTACTTGTTATTAACAAAAAAAGAACATCTCAAAACTAAAAAAAATAAATTAAAAAATAATAAATGAATATATAACCCCCTCCCCACTCATCTACTTATTAAGGCAAAATAAATAGAAAACTGATAATACAGAGATAATTTTCAGGATTTTTAATTTTCATGATATTCAACTGTTCTGGTGAGATTTTATTTTAAAAACTAAAATTATTAAAAATCAATTTCCAATCAACTCAACTTATTAAATTTCAAAAAAATGTTATTCTTTATAATGTAAGAAATGTAATGTAAAAAAGAACATTAAATTTTCTAAAAAGCTGACGACTGGTTTAGCAGAACCTAAAAAAATTATTACTTCGAACTAAATTCTTAAAGTAAAAAATCTCAAGCAGGTGAATCAGTCAGAGATGTTTTCAAAAAATGTAGATCTATTTTTGTGAAGAAAAAGTTTTAGCTAAATTTGTTAAAAAATCAAATCACACAATATAGATATGCAATTTTTTTAATATTTAAACAAAAATGTAAAATATCCTCAGTTTTTTAAATATTTATAAAAATTGCAAATGATAGGATGTCCAAAAAAAATTATATTGTTTACCACTTAAATGATAATTTTCCACCTCTTCCTCATTTATTTATATTGAAATAAGTATTTATTTAAATACTATAACAGAGATTATAAAAATTTCATTTATTAAAACAATATACCAATATATTTTATATTTTTTAGGTATATATATCAATAATAATACGGATATAAATTATGCATAAGAATAAGCTGTAAAAAAAAATTTGAATATGTAAAAAAATTAAGAATGTGGTAGTAAACCCAAGGAGACAATTGTATTTTTTGAACAGACCCATTTTAGAGCTTTTGAAATAACAGTTGCCAACAAATTGCGACATTTTAAGGAGATATAAGGTACAAGTAAACAAATTATCATATTAATTCCCCGAAGGATATAAGGTATAAGTAACCAAAATCAAATATAAGTTGCTCCATGGAGGGTAGAAGCAAAAATGCCAACTCCCTGGTGTAAAATGTGAGGTATTGAAGATCGTCTTATGAAAGAAGTAGAAAATAACTGGCTAATATTTTCTCAATATGTTTAAATTATTATTTTTTAATGTAATGAAAATCAAAGCTGACCGTAACAGATTACCTGATGCTATTAAAAACGGGTATTGAACTCTAAACCGACCAAAAGTTAACTAGAAAATGGATATAACCGAGATATTAACATGGTTTACGGAAAGAGAATCCAGCGTAGGAATGAGTTAGATAAAAAAACTTGAAATGTTTAGAAAGGTTAAAAGTTTATTTGAAAACGATATCGTCTTTGATACAGAATTATTATATTTTGAGTAAAATTCATCTAATGAATTATTATTATAAACCTTTTCTAAATGTAGCATCCCTGAAAAATTGTAATTTGCCTTTATTCACAGCTATTTGTCTTACTGTAATATTGTGTGGGCTAGTACTGGCTATACAAAACTAATATAATATATATATATAAGAAAATCTACAACAAACAAAAACATGCATGCAGAATAGTGTTTGGAGTCTGCAGAAATACTCCTTGCGAACCACTTTTACGTGCACTCGGTGCTTTAAATGTGTATAAACTCAATTTACACCAAGTTTTATTGTTTATTTTTAAAACAAAAATGGGATTGTCCCCAATAATTTTTCAAACCTATTTTAATAAAATTAATCATAAATATTCACCAAAGTTTTCTGATAAGAACTTTCTTTTTCTCAAGTATAATTTAAAATTAACCTTCTATTCAATTAAATATCGCGGACCTTATCTGTGGAAAAAATTCCCAGAGATTGTCAACAAAAACAAGACTACATTAGAACAATTTAAAAATGAATCAAAACAATTATTACTATTCAGGGATCTTAATTTATCTGACTTCAAATGTTTCTTTTAAAATTTAATCAAATAAAAACAAATTTATTTATATCAATCAAATTTAAGTAATGATGTTAAAAATTCATCTTGTATTAATGTTAATTATGAAATTTTATTCTTATTTAAAACTTTTTGTTTAAATGATTTTAAAACATTTATACGGTTGCTAGCATTTCGACAATTCTTAGTTATTTGCTATTTTGAATTTCTTAATTTTCTCAGTTTTTTTCTGCTATAATTCTGACCTATATTTTATATATTTATATTATATACATTTGTATGTTACGGTTATGTAGAGTTTTTTTTTTTTTTTATATATGTGGGGCTCGGCGATAAGGCAAAATGTGCCTTCTTCTTGCTCCTGTTATTAATTTTGATATATGTATATGCAATGTAAACATTCTTTAACAGCGAAATAAATTACACTTAAAAAAAAAAAAAAATTTAATGTATCTAGTGAAAAAGATGAAAAGTTATGTGTCATTAAGAAAAAAAAAGGATCTGATGAGCTGCACTTGCCGATATTTAAAATAGATTAATAAAAGCGAAGAGTGAAGTTGCTGCAAAAATTCATCATGTTTTAAGGTGTTATACAGCAATTCTTTTTTCAATTCAGAATTATATTCGGCATAATATGAAATATATTGTTTTTTTTTAATCAAGAACCCACGGAAAAAGTCTTCATACAATCAAAACACGGGGGAAGAAATTAAAAATAGTTGTAAAAATATTTTATTCAGTAAGAAACTCTTTCTTCAATTCAATAGTAAACTGTGTAATGAATAGGATCTAAAATGGAAGGGACTGTGGTAAGCGTGTTGGCTCCTAAGCATGATAATACAGTAGCGGGTTTTAGGGAGGGGTCCATTGGGGTAGTATTCCCCTTCTTGGAATTTTTTTTCTTCTAATATTCTTTTGTAAATTGGCTATTATACAGAATTAGACTACTTTACTGACGACGAATGTTGACTATTATACGTAATTATACGTATATTGACCATCCTTTTTTTTTCCAGACCTTTTTAGCTCCCTCCTTGGCGAGTGACGAAACCCGCCCCTGTGATAATAGTAGTGATATTCTGCTGAAAGTGTTCCAGGCAAGTTCATTAAAAGGCAAAGAATTATCAATACAAATAAAAAAGTTACTAGAAGATTTTGAAATTGAAAACAATATTTTTGCTGTTTATACTGACAAAACTGCTTCAAAGACTGTTGCACATTATGGAGAAGTCGAACTTATTAGTAGGTATGTTGTTGCGAAGCATATTATGATATGTGGGTTTTATGTCGTATATATATATATATATATATATATATATATATATGCACTGTATATATATATATAGCAAAAATTATTTTGTATTAAATGTAAATTTTTTTTAACTTTAAAAAATATTTTAAATTATTTTGGTTCAAAAAATGCTTTGAACCGAAACAAACTGTTTTTTTTTTCCGATTGTTTTATTATTTAAATATTAGACATTTTGAAGAAAAACTGAAATCTACACCTAACATTTCCTGAAGGTTTAGAAACCTAAAAATTTTCACTTTTCTTTTAACTAGAGTGTATAACCAGGATATTAAATAAATAATTAAAAAATATATTAAAAAATTCTGGATGTTTGATCCACATATTTATATATAACTATTATTGTTGTATTGAGCTTAAAAATTGAGAAATAATTAAAAAACTGTTAAAAAATGTTGAATGAACAGAAAAGAGACTGAAAGACTTCTGAAAGAGCAGGAAAAAAAAAAATTTTGCAAAGATTACAACTGAAAATATGAAAATTATAACTGATAGACTTGATAAATTAGAAAACAACTTAAACACCAATAGAACAAAAATATACAATATTGAAAAAGACTTAGAAGGGTTAAAACAAAGTTTAAACTTCCAAGAAAAGATGGTGAACGAAAAAATAGTAAAAACGAACAGAAAATTAATTAAAATATCACAACGAATAGAAACGTTTTGAACTAATCAAG